TGTAGCTCTCAGAGAAATTGTACTCTTTTAGAGGAAATTTGCTCTTTTAGAGATCGCCGTTGAAGCACCCAGGGGTACTCTCACAACACTTATCTGTGTATGAGTAGGGAGAGACCACTGACCGTTCCTTAGATCCAACGACGAGGAATCGAGAGGTGAATGATCGCAACTTCTCAGTGAGAGACTGCATTCGGCTGCGAAAAACAGAACGAGTGAGCAGATGCCACGCTGGCCTATTTATACCCGGATGTCTGGGGCATGGCCAGCTATGCAAGTTGTTTGGGCTCCCAAGAGCGATCCCTAGTGTCGTACACTTGACACAACGTCGTAGTGAACGACAGAAAGGGAACTATAGTATTTGTAAAAATTGCGAAAATGGAATGAGATTATTTGCTTTCTATACACTGTAAATAAGTAAATAAAATCCTGTTGAATTTACTGTAAAAAAGGCAGCTGTGGTTTTGAAAAACCACAATTTGAAAAATTATGGTCATAAAATTTCAGTGACTTTATATTAAATAATAAGTGTATACTGTTATTTCCTGGCCAACACAATTTTAATAAATTAATTTTCTTATTGTGAATAAAATATCATTAGACAACAGTCTTATGCAAAATATTCCAAATAATATGATATCCAAATGATAAACATGATATTTTATGTTATTATATATTACATAATTTTGATCATTAAGATTATTTTATTTTATTATTTTTGTTTTACTACAGTTATAGACATTAAGTTAAAAATTATTACTTTGTTATGATTATGAATACAGTTGAGGAGGTCAGTGCACTGTATAAAAAAATATGTGCATTAACATAATCCATTAATTTTACAGACATTTCTGTTAACTCTAAAACACAACACAGTGCAGTGTAAAATTCAAAATACTGGTAAAACACCTGGTAAACAATAAATACAGAATAAGAAATTATATAAGCCCTATTTTTATAGTTTTTTTTTAAGAGTGTACCTTGAGGGTCAGGCCAAAATCTCCATTTTAATACGATACTGTAAGTACAGACATTTGATGCAACTAGCTCATTTTATGCTAAGTAAAAAGTAAATATTATTATGTTAAATAATAATTTATCAAACCATATCTAAAAGGGTTAAAAATTGAATTTGTACTTTAAAAGAAATTGTGGGACAGCGAAGTGTACTGTATTTGCAGGCCAAAATCTCCAGTTTGTAGTTTGTACTTTAAAAGAACAACAAAGTGTACTGTATCTGTGGAAAGTGACTGGTTGTTCCACTCAAAGGAGTTGAATCACTCTCACACACATGTGCTCACTCTTCCGGAAGCCATTATCCGTATGTCCATATGTCTCTGTGTTTATGTGTGTGTTTTATGAGTGGTTTGTGTAGGTTGCTGGGGTTTGCTGCAGCATATTTATATTCTGTTTTGTGGAACATTTTCCAGACATTATGGTTGACACGAGGCAACCCAACCCCCCATCTGTCTGCGGCTCTGGAGTTTTATCATGAAAACATGAAAACTGACATGTACAGGTGGAGATGTTTAGACCATCTCTCTCTGCAATCTTTTCGTCATCACTATGGGATCTCTTAAAGAAATGTCTCTTAGCATCTTGGAAAATGACGAAGTGATGTGAACCAAAATGTCATGTACAAGTGTTTTTGTCAGAAATGTGAGTGTTATTGAGTTGCGGCATTCCAGTAAATTTATTTCTTGCACGTAAATTTGGTGTGTCTCAGCATAAATAGTGGAAAGACAGGATGTGCGATGAAGTAATGTGGGATAAAGCAGAAGGGAGCGGCACTCTGACATAAGGTCTGCTTGGTACAGAAGTTTCCGGAAAGCCTCTTAAACAGTCATGTGCTTGAATCGGCTCACGCTCCAGGGCTTCCGCCACACGTTTTTGGCTCTGCCAACATTCAGGGCATTGTTTTGGTATTAATCTCTCTTTATCGAACCCAAGGGTTAAAAATTGAATTTGTACTTTAAAATAAATTGTGGGACAGCGAAGTGTACTGTATTTGTGGAAAGTGACTGCTTGTTCCACTCAAAAGAGTTTACTTGACTTTCTGAATCACTCTCACACACATGTGCTCGTATATGTGGCCTGAATCTGCTGGTATGGTTTGAGTTGAGCCTGTGAGATACAGCATGCACTCTTCCGGAAGCCATTATCCGTATGGCCATATGTCTCTGTGTTTATGTGTGTGTTTTATGAGTGGTTTGTGGCCTAACTTGAAGAATTGAAGTGCTATTAATGCTTTTTATGCTAATTTTGGTACAGTGAATTTTAATTGCTTAATGTCTTCAGTGAACAGTTTGTACCAGACAAAATAAACATCACATGTGTTTAAATTTGATTGTACAACCATAGAAACATGAGAAAAAAGGAAAGATAACAATCCTTGCCATTTTTACTGTTTCTTCTCCTTGGTTATTACCTACCTTGAAACAGTCACAGAGTTGTTTTGTATTTGTTGGGATGTTGTGCCTTTATTTTTGTGAAGACAGTTTGAAAAGAGATCGGAATGAGAGGCGAACAGGATTGGGGCAGGATCTCAAGCCAACTCAGTATACGCTGTAGCACAGCCACAAGGTAGTGTCTAGTTAAAGCAATAATCTCTGGGAATCTGTGGTTTACTGTGATTTTAGAACATGTAGTTCTTCAGCAATGTTTAGCAGATTGATTGCCACTCAACACACAGAAGCAGCAACGCACAGATGTAGCAGTGCAGTAAAACTGATGTGTGTTTATAGAGTATTTTACAACATCTTCAAATGTGCTCAGCCTATCATAATCAAGAACCGTTTTGTTTTATAAACTTATCTTGATGACACAGAGACCAGGAGAGGAAGAGCCAGAAGGTGGTAATCAAAATCGGAATGATCTATAAAAGATGCACAGCGACGCACAGTAGAATCCGACTGCTTGCGTGGTGCAAGTGTCAAAGACGTCCGTCTAGTGCAATGACCTGAATAAAACATGCTTAAAAAGAGCTAAAAAATGTTATATTTTATATTTATTTTATTTATATTTATATGAGTTTATATTTATAGTTTTTTTATTTTTTTATGCAACATAATTTTGCCTTGGATAGGGGGCCTTCAAGTATTGTCTTGGACAAAGGAGTCAAAAAGTTTGTAAACTACTGGTGTCAGGTCAGGTTTACATAGAAAAACAATTAAAAAGCAGTGCACTGGAACACAAAAATGTGTTCAGTGTGGACCAGCCCTAACACTGGATCTTAACCAGGTGTAAAAACAAGTCTTACAAGAGGGTTTTCTCCTAGCTGTGACCATCACGATTGCAAGTGACAGGACATTTTGTCCGTTGTTTAGTTTCTTTTTCTGGAGTGTCATGCTGAGTAAGACTGAAATCCCACTCCAAACATCAAATATGTTCAGATTGTCTGTGATTGTCACACAACATTTTTGCCTTCAGTGTGGACAGAAATATGACTTATTTCATAGCTGTAAACCTGGCTGGTCAGTATAATTTGTCTTAAATCTCATTTTGTTAAAATAAATAAATAATCGTGAATCGACTCGAACCGTGAGTTGAGTGAATCGTTACATCCCTACTTGTTATATTATCAGATGGCCTTCGTTTTGAACTCCAGAACTCATTCTTGAAATGGCACACTGTCTGCAGATCGCAGCTTTAAACAAACTCCACTACTAATAAAATATAGTTTCAAGATGTAAACACAGACTTTAGTTTATTAGCCTCAAAGTATTTTCATATGAAGCTGTCTCAAGAAATGAGAGCTTGTTTTCCTTCAGTGTAGAGGGAAGGTTGTGTCACAAATGGAATTTCTTACCCTCCTTCCACTGAGACCTACAATTTTACTTGGAATTACAATGAGAGCGAAGCCAGGTTCCTCAGCCCACTGTTTCTGTGGTTTGTCTCTGTGGCGTTCCTCTATTCTTGCATTGTTCAGACAGCAGCTGCTCTAAGACCCATTCGTCTTCCTCAACCTTCATTTGTACACTTGCTCTTTTCCCCTACTTTTGGCGTTTTTGATCTGTGTTTTTAATCACTGGCTTTCAGTCCAGGCAACTGGAAAAGTTTAAGCAGGACTCGGCTCTTAAATAAACAACACCTTTGGGGATACAGCCCTTGATTCCGGTAAACGTCTGGCCCTTGCACAATGGCCAATTTTCCTTTGTAGAGGCCAACGCTGTCTCTGTCTCCACCCCCTCAGCCTTCAATCGCTCCATCTGTCTGGATTTTCCTGCATCTCCCGCACCATTTTACCCAACAGTCACTGATTCTATGTCTTCCTGTGCCACGTTTTTACAGCCACTCAATGTTCAAGTGAGCAACATCCCATTACAAGATATGGTATGTCTGGGGTTAAAGTTGGGGAGGTTCAGATACATTGAGACATTTGACATTTTAAGGTCAGAATGGGGTGTATTGAGGAGTTGGGAAGCTGCAAAAGAGCAAAAACCCATGGTTAGCCACAGCGATCACAGCTGTTAAAACAACTCTTTTGGAAATTGTGTAACATGCGCACATGCTTCCACAGAGTCCCCTGACTCAGCTATTTCAAATAGAAAGAGCGGCATTGTAGAAGTGAAAAAGAGAAATGTGTATGCGAGACCACTGTATTATTATTAGCACTATTTTAAAACAGAGTCACAGAGTCATCAAAGTTTTTGATTTTTGTCTGTGGACTCAATCTTGACTCAGACTCAAGTGAGCTAGTCTCGTATCTTGTGACAAATCATAAGGCAAATTTATTTTAATGTTTTAAATTGAATGCAGGTGTTGGAAATGTTCTTTGTTTGTTCTGCAAATGCTAAATAGTTTACAGTCTTATTTTAGAATAATTTCAAATTAGTCCTCACAATTTAAACTGAGATACTTATTTGGACTGGACTGTATGTTAAATTTATAGTATTCAGTAGAGATTTTACCCACAATAAGCAAAACGGTATATTACACATGAACACAAAACACATCATTTCTCTGTTTTACCTACATTTCTCCCCATTCCTTGTTCCTTACAGATGTAGAACAGATGGCAATAGACTGGCTCACAGGAAACTTCTACTTTGTTGATGACGTGGATGATCGAATCTTTGTATGTGATAAAGATGGAGCCACATGTGTAACACTGTTGGATCAAGAACTCTACAACCCTAAAGGCATTGCTCTGGACCCAACTATGGGGTATGAGCATGTTCAATCTCACACTTCATGTATACAACTAGCTAGCTGAATATTTGTAGTATTTGCTAAATGGTCAAATGAGGTATACATCAGGTTTACTCGGGTATAACCTTCCTCAACATTACCTTCAACAGAAAGGTTTTCTTCACTGACTACGGGCAGATCCCAAAGGTGGAACGTTGTGACATGGATGGACAGAACCGAACAAAGTTGGTGGACAGTAAAATTGTCTTCCCGCATGGTATCACCCTGGACTTGGTCAGCAGATTGGTCTACTGGGCTGATGCTTATCTGGACTACATCGAGGTAGTGGACTATGAGGGCAAAAACAGACACACCATCATTCAAGGACTGTTGGTAAGGAGCAAATACCAAGATCATTTTAAGATGTCCTTAAATATCCTGACATGTCCTAAAAAGTGACTCTTATAAGTTGAAAAAAAAGTATTACTCGTTATTGTGCAAGAATGTGTTTTGCTCAAGAACGAATTTCCCCATTGTTTTGAATCATTTAAAAGACAGTGAGTTGCTAAATATAACATTTAACAATGGTCAACTTCCCTTTATTACTGCTCTACAAATGATGTTTTATTAACAAAGTTCGGGAGGGGCACGTTCAGATAATTAACCTAATTAATACGAGAGGAGCATAATTCACAAGGTAAGAGCTGTATATATACACAGCAGACTTACCTCTGTTCCTTGACAGTTTTTCAGCATCCCTCCACCACCCCATCTCCACACTTACAACTATTCCTATCTTAAGTACTCTGGGTTTGGGCCAAAATTCCAAGATCAGAGTCCTCCCCTCGGACAGCACGCCAAATACGCATAACCTTTACTTTGTTTATTATATGTAAGTGTGAAATCGTGAAACATTATTTTGTAGATAGCATGAACATGATTTTATATTTCTCAAAAGTTCAAGTCAACAGATAAAGATCCCATGCATTTATCCCAAACATTTATGTAGAACATTTAAAATAGAAACTTACATTTTCTGTAAAGCTGCTTTGCAACGATTTGTATCATAAAAGCGCTATACAAATAGACTTGAATTGAATTGAAAATTTAATTTATCTCTATGATCCATCTATTCTATTCATCCACCAATCACCTGTTAATCTACTCATCTATTTAATGTTTATTTATAAAGCACATTTAAAAGCAACAGATGTTGCACAGAATTCTGTAAAATAAAGAAAAATGCAGTGCTATCCATCCAAACATTTGCCACTCATTCATCCAAACATCTGTCCACACATTCATCCTATTGCACTTCAGTCCAAATGTCAGTCTCTTCATACTCTCTTCAGACATGTGTCCAAATTTCCATTCATTCACCATCCATCCATCCATCCATTCGTCAATTCATCCATCTGCCCATTATCTACTTAAACGTCTATCTGTTCAGTAATCTGAATTGTCCTTCTAAATATCCATCCATCATTCCATCCATCCAAACATCTACCTGTTAATTCATCTGACCATCTATTCATTTTTCCATCCGTCCATCCATCCATCCTAATGTCCATCATCCACCTTAAAATCCACCTGTTATTCAGTTATCTGTCAGTCTATTCATTTGTCCATCCATCCAAAATTTGCCCGTCATCCATTCATCCATGCTAACGTTCATCAGTTCAAAAGTCCATCTCTCCATCTCTCCATCCATCCATCCAGTCCAAATGTCCATCCATCCTAATGTCCGTCATCCATCATCAACCTTAAGATCTGTTCAGTAATCTGTCCACCCATCTGTCCATCCATCCATCCACCCATCCATCCATTCATCATACCTCATTGTGTTGAGAGAGTCACTTATATTGTACTGTGAAAAATGCTTTAGTAGGTGAAAGAGACAGTGGTGTTAAAGCTGTTTCTGTCAATGCATTAGCCTGATTCCTTCCTCTCTGCTTGAGTTATGGCTATCATTTAGCTGCTCAGCCCAAGGCTAATTGGTGTGTTTATGTGCGTGTCTTGCTCACTCAAGCCAGCAAAGCAAACACAACTTCCCAAATAATATAACTAATTGAATAATGATTTTTTTTCTCAGATTGAGCATCTTTATGGGCTCACAGTGTTTGAGAACTTTCTATATGCCACAAACTCTGACAATGCCAACATGCAGCCTAAGACCAGCGTGATCCGCGTCAATCGATTCAACAGTTCAGATTATCAGGTGGTCACCCGTGTCGACAAGGGAGGAGCTCTACATGTTTACCACCAGAGACGCCAACCCCCTGGTATTAATCTGTTTCTTATCTAATGCTGTTGAATACATAGACTGAACTAGTATACAGTAGTATACTTGAATAAACTGTTTAAAATGCAACCATTACATTGCAGTCTAGCTCCAGCTCAGTCTAACTCTCCTGTTCTTCTTCTTCAGTGCGGAGTCACGCCTGTGAGCCAGATCAGTTTGGAAAAGCTGGAGGTTGTTCAGACATCTGTCTGTTGGGCAACAGCCACAAGAGTCGGACGTGTCGCTGTCGGTCTGGCTTTAGCCTGGGCAACGATGGCAAATCGTGCAAGAGTGAGTGACATTATAATAGATTCTACTCTATCAATTGATTCACCAAAATAGTTTAACTTAGTTTTACCTAACTTAGAATTTTACGCAAATGAGAGTTAAATTGCAGAGTTCAATGTTTATTCATTATGAAGTTTTTAAACTTGTTGCTGTAGAAAGGTGACTATGGCATTATTGTATAGATTTTTATTTAACTCCGAATTTACTACGAAAAGTATTATGGTTTACTATGATATTACCATATTTTTTTGGACATGTGTCATGGTGAAACCATAGTATTCTTCATGATATTTTAATGTTGTTACATAAAAATTATGCTAATTCTTAAATCCGATTGGTCATGGAATGTGTTCCACTTGCCCTGTATCTTGCTCTCTTATTGGCTGTAGGTCGTCACAGATGTTATTTCCAGTCAAAACACATTTCACTCTGCAGGGGTGTATTCCAGAAAGCAAGGTCAACTTACCGTCACATATACCCTGAACTCTTGGTTGATTAACCCAAACCTTGCTTACTTGAGGTATACTGGTTCCCAAAACGTGTCTGGGAGTAAGTTCAGTCAACTCAGAGGTGCATATCTCCACCTAGTTGGTGGTTGTGCAGTCATTTTTCATATTTTCTTTTTTAATATTTAGTAACTGAGAATAAGAATTTGTATATGTACTAGGGCTGTCAGTTGATAAAAATTTGTAATCTAATTAATTACATGATGTGTCAATTAATTAATCGAATTAATTGCAAAATACATTTTACTGTGAAAATACACACAAAAGAATATTTAAAGCTATTTTTGTGTTAAATGAGAAAATATCAAGTAGACATTACAAATTGTAGCTTTAGAAAGAAATATTTTATTTGAGTTAACATAAAATGTAAACAAATCTACAACGGCCTAACATAAACTTTGGAACATAAAAGAAGATAATTTGAGAACCATCTCAGTATTTTTTACAATGGTCATTGGTAACCAAAACAGCTTTGTTACCAACAGTCTTCAAAATACCTTCTTTTGTGTTCCACAACAGAAAGGTTTGAAATGAGAGGGTGAGTAAGGGTGTATTCACACCTGTCTTGTTTGGTTCGATTGAATCAAACTCAAGTTCGTTTCCCCCCTTGGTGCGGATCTTTTGGGCAGGTGTGAATACAGCAATCGCACTCAGGTGCTGAACACACAACCGTACCGAGACACAGCTGAAGAGGTGGTCTCGGTCCGCTTCCAAGCGAACTCTGGTACGATTGAATGGATGAACCAATGAATGGATGACCTTAGCACACGTGTTGTTTTGTTTACAATTTCTGGTTCACTTGCAAAAAGAGCAGTGTGAAAGCGAACCGCACTAAACAAAAAAAATCAACATTGTATTTGGTCCGGACCAAAGCAAGTGAACTAGCGGACTTTCCTGGTGTGAATACACCCTAAATGACAGAATTTAATTTTTTTGGGTGAACTATCCTTTTAATGTCTTTATTTTTATTATTATTATTTTTTAATGAAATTATACTCTTAATAAGAAATGAAATCTGCCACCAGGTGGCGGTAAATAAAATAGTCATTCATTGATTCATTCGATTCATTCAAACGGCTGATTCATTCAGGAATTAAGTAAATGGCTCTGTTAATAGAGACAGAGCGACACGCGTCATAATCTGAAAACCACGCCCACCGGGGGGGGAAACAATCCAACGCTTTCCATTTACTTTGTATTGCCGGAAGCTGCCTCCTTGTCATTTCTGACTTATAACAAAAAACAGAGCAATGCCTAAAAGCTGCTATGTGACAAGGGTAGAGTAAACAAGCTAAAAAAAACACAGAACTACGTTTTTATAAGCTGTCGACCCCAAAAAATGAGCGTTTAAGGACACAAAAGTAGAGCGCAACGTGTTATATTACTCTGAGAACTGCGCCCACTGGAGGGAAACGTAATCGGCGACAAGAACCATTCATTATTTTAACCATGTCAAAGGATTATTTCACCACCCTATGTGAATCTAAGAGGAGGAGATATATTGAGAAACTAAATTTATTGGTCTATGTCAGTACCCCCTTTCCTTACCTTCCTTTTGTTTGAGAAATGATCCAATTGAATGGCCCAACGTGAATTACCCTGACATCTATAACTATTTGTGTCCTTAAACGCTCGTTATTTGGGGTCGACAGCTTATAAAAACGTAGTTCTGTAGTTCAAGCTAAAAAACTAGTTTTTTAGCTTGTTTGCTGTACACCTTGTCACACAGCAGCTTTTAAGCATTGTTCTGTTTTTTGTTATAAGTCAGAAATGACAAGGAGGCAGCTTCCCAGAATACAAAGTCAATGGAGAGCATTGGATTGTTTCTCCCCCTGGTGTGGGCGTGGCCTAAATGCGCTCTGTCTCTTATGAATGGGTCTTTGAATCATTGGTTCACATGATTTGTTCAAAACACGGATTCATTCAGAAACTAAACATCGCTGTGTTGCTCGGAGATGTGCAACAATTCTGCTATGGTTTTAACGGTAATATGTTCTCTGCAAAATTGAGCAAAAACATATAATATTGTGTTTAAAATATAACAATATCAACTTCTTATTTTCTGAACTGTTATATAAAATCACATTTAAACTAGTGATATTCAGGACAGAAACAGCACTAGTCTTATATTGCTCTTCCTGCTTGTGTGATAGGCTGTCGCTTATCATGTGATATAAATATGAGACAAAAACTCATACAAAGGCATTTTTTCCACCAATATCTTGAATTTTAGGGCATAGCTGCATTTATGGAGTTGTTGCCATGCATCATATTTGTCAACAGTCAACTGCATGTAATGTAAGATGATGTACAGGTCTGGGGGCGGGGCCAGTGCATTGCGTTAAAATATTTTAATCTTGTTATTTTTTCATAACTAGTTAGTTAAGTTAATGCATTAAACTGACAGTCCTAATATATACATATATTTACGCACATATTTGACAATGATTTCCACAAAACTGTCAGTGAGTGAAAATCAGGGCTAAAATCGTGCAGTGTAAATATGTGTAGTCGAAAATAAGCAGAATCAATGATAATCAGGTAAACTTCTACCAAAGTAGGAGCAAACTGGGTGAAGACATGCTTTTTGGGGTGTTTCATAGTGCCTCAAATACCAGTAAATTGACTATCCCAAACTGTAGCAAATTACCTCGCATGATTCATTTAAATACTCTCCTCCCATAAATCTTGCATCTGAACAGGAAACTCCCAATAAAAGAAAAAACACTAAAGTCAGCAAAAACACACCTAGTATCTAGTAACCCTGTTGAAAAAAACAGCATATGCTGGTTAGGTTTGTTTTGAAGCATGGCAGCTGGTTTGAGCTGGTGTAAGCTGGTCCTGAGCTGGTTATGAGCTGGTCCTGATCAGGAGCTAGTTGCTTAGGACCAGCACATGACCAGCTTAAACCAGCTCATAACCAGTTTATAACCAGCTCGGGACCAGCTTAAACCAGCTCAAACCAGCTGCCATCCATCAAAACATAGCTAACCAGCATATGCTGTTTTTTTTCAACAGGGAAATCCTGACAGTAGTATTTTAAGAGCAAAAGAGAGTTTGCGCTGGTGCAAGCTGTTAGTAAATCCACTCCTAAGTCTGCTGCGGAGCTCGCCTCCAAACCGGGGTGCTTGTGAGCATTTTTCTGAAACCTAAAATGACAGTTGAGACACCCTACAATCTTTACAGACATGTGTACACAGTGACCATTGTAAGTCCACAAGACTACAACTGCACATGAAGTGTGTCATTGAAATAGGGCCCTTATGAGTTAGTGACTGAATCATTCACTCAACCAATTTGCTTAAAAATGTGCAATCTTTCATTAGTTGCTGTGCATGGCAGCTGGTTTGAGCTGGTTTAAGCTGGTCCTGAGCTGGTTATGAGCTGGTCCTGATCAGGAGCTAGTTGCTTAGGACCAGCACATGACCAGCTTAAACCAGCTCATAACCAGTTTATAACCAGCTCGGGACCAGCTTAAACCAGCTCAAACCAGCTGCCATCCATCAAAACATAGCTAACCAGCATATGCTGTTTTTTTTCAACAGGGAAATCCTGACAGTAGTATTTTAAGAGCAAAAGAGAGTTTGCGCTGGTGCAAGCTGTTAGTAAATCCACTCCTAAGTCTGCTGCGGAGCTCGCCTCAAAACCGGGGTGCTTGTGAGCATTTTTCTGAAACCTAAAATGACAGTTGAGACACCCTACAATCTTTACAGACATGTGTACACAGTGACCATTGTAAGTCCACAAGACTACAACTGCACATGAAGTGTGTCATTGAAATAGGGCCCTTATGAGTTAGTGACTGAATCATTCACTCAACCAATTTGCTTAAAAATGTGCAATCTTTCATTAGTTGCTGTTTACTATTTGGCACTATGTGGCAATATTGTGTCTAAAATGTAAGTTACTCTGATGTTGCTTAATTAAATATATGAGGATCATGGGTTTCAAATAGAGCCCGACCGATATGGGTTTTTTGGGGGCCGATGCCGATACCGATATTAGGGAGTAAAAAAAGACCGATACCGATATATCGTCCGATATTCTTTGTGTAGGCTATATTATAGTACAGTATAGTCAAAA